ATTTTGCCGCTTGCTGCTTGCTGTTCGTTCGGTTCAACTTCAACGAACTGCGGCAAAATGTATTTTGCGCCGGAAGTGCGTCATCTAGCTTACATAAAATCCTTAACCAATAGTAACGAATTGCTGCTGCAGCGTGCTGCGCATGAAAAAGCACCTTTAAGCGGGGAGCACAGACTTTTGCATAACGCATAAACCATATACATAAGGAATTTCATGGACCAATCAAATTCTTTATGTATATGGTTTATGCGTTATGCAAAAGTCTGTGCTCCCCGCTTAAGGGCGGGTTCACACCTTAAGGCTGAAATCACACGGTACGGAATAGAATTGCGGAATAGAGAGTGCGTCATTCAAGCAACCAATCAGTGCTAGAAAGCAAAATGCGAAATAACGCTGATTGGTTGCTTCAATGACGCACTCTCTATTCCGCAATCCTATTACGCATCGTGTGATTTCAGCCTAACGGAAAAGCGGAAAGCGGAAAAGCAGTAGCCAATCAGAACTCGCGCTGATGGTCGACTTTCTGCTAGTTCTATACTACTTGCTACCAACGCAAGTTCTTATTGGCTACTGCTTTTCCGCAATTCGCTTTTCCGTCAAGGTGTGAACCCGCCATAAGGACGGGTTCACACCTTGACGGAAAAGCGGAAAGCGGAAAAGCAGTAGCGAATCAGGTAGTCGACTTTCTGTCAGTTTTGTACAATTCGCGCAATTAATGCCTTCCAACTCTGTTTTGGCATTACGTGTTACCTTCTCGGTTATTTTCATGTTAATGGCTGTAATAGACGGACCAGCCAACAGAATTGCGCGAATTTCTCCAACCTCTATAGATTCCGTGTTCGTGACATCTCGAATGTGTGTGTTTAAAGTTTCATTGACAGTCGTAAATTTCGGTTTAAAATATATTTACATAACCAAATTTTTTATTATTTACTGCTCATAATTTATCAGATAAGTCGCCATTCTTCCTTCTTATATTTATTTAAACCTCTATAAAATTAAGAAAAAATATCTTTGTGCATTTTTTTTCCTTTGCAGAAGGAAGCAAACAAGGAAAAATTTTCAACGACTTGAATCTTTTAAGACTTTGACGGAAGAGGTTAATTGTAATGAACGGGTATCCTTTACATAGTATAATCCAAACAATATATATATTAAGAATAATAAACAATTTTAATCACTAATTTCTAGATTACAATATTTACAATTAATATTTAATCCAATAGCCATCCTTTTCAATCACTCGTTGCAAACGACTGTTCGTGGAGTTCACCAGATTGTGGAAAATTTGTGACCTCTCCCGTAGACTGTTCCAAGTTGCATATACATAATCGCTAATGGCCCATACATTTTCGAGTGGATTGTCTTCGGGAGAGGCCACAAATTTTTCACAATCTGGTGAACTCTATAAACAGTTGTTTGCAATGTGTGATTGAAAAGAATGGCTATTGGATTGAATATTAAATGTAAATATTGTAATCTTTAATTGTAAATATTGTAATGTAGAAATTAGTAATTAAAATTGTTTATTATTGTTAATATTATATACATATTGTTTGAATTCTATCATATGTAAAGGATACCTTGTCTTCTTCAGCCAAAATCTTAAAAGACTCAAATTATTCTTGTTGAAAATTTCTTCTTGTTCGTTTCCATTTGTAAAAGAAGAAAAATGCACAAAGATATTTTTCCTTAATCTTATATAGAAATTTAAATAAATATAAAAAGACAAAATGCAAATGATAAATATTGTAATAAACTGATCTGATAAAATTATGAGCCGTAAATAATTAAAAATTTGTTTACATTAAAAATGCACAAAGATTTTTTTCCATAATTTTTTATAGAGTTTTAAATAAATACAGAAAGGAAGAATAGCAACTTATCTGATAAATTATGTGTCGTAAATAATTGAAAATTTGGTTATGTAAATATATTTTCAAACGAAATTTACGACTGTCAACAGTGTCAATAAAACTTTAATCACACACATTCGAGGTGTCACGAACACGGGCTATAGAGGTTGAAGAAATTCGCGCAATTTCGCCGGCTGATTACGATTTGTCTACTATAGCCATGAATATGAAAACGACCGAGAAAGTAAACGCGATGCTTCAAGAGTGAATGTGACGTCATAGGGTTGGAAGGCATTAATTGCGCGAACTGTACTATTTATTACCAGCGTGAGTTTTGATCGATTAACTCTTAGAACATATAGTACTGGAAGGAGCATAGGCATATGGTCCTTGTACATTCGGTTGAAGCCGAGAAGATTGACAAGGATGGAGAGATTAAGATCGTAGATTGTAATGCGCATACTCCATACGCGTGCGCGGTGGATTATCCACCGTGGATGCTAGAAAGCACGTTAATTATTTGCGAACTGTGTTTGGTTCTGTTTGGTTCTATGAGTAAAAATTATAAGTGATTTGTGGCAATGTATTGCTATATTTGCAAAGAAGAAAATCAGGCGTCTTCATATCACTTGTAAGTTTAATTATTTGTGAGTATAGTATTAATATACGGAATTTATAATGTTAGTTTTGAGGTTAGTTTTCGTAATTACTCTTTAATATCTAAAAATTCGAATCCATTATACGTATAAACAAATTTGTGAAAAAGATAATTATATCAGGTACAAATATACAAAACTTATATTGTTCAATAAACAATAAATAAATATAATTTATCATTAGCACTCAAAGACGTTTTTTATTCATCATTTAATAAATGTATAAATTATCACTTGGCTGTCACTTAAATGTTTTTCTTATTATAAATTGAAATTTATTAGCCTTTTCACTTTAACCTTGAATTCATATATCAAATGTATACTGCAGCTGACAGCTGTGTATAATTCGCTTGCGCACGTATTCCCTCCGTACAGTCATGCGCATTACCAACTACGATCTTAATCTATTTCTCTCTGTCAATCTACTCGCCTTCACTTTCAAGAGACTATGCTCCTTCCAGTACTATATGTTCTAAGGATTAACTGCTCTTCCGCTTTCCGCTTTTCCATCAAGGTGTGAACATCCGGCCTGAGGGTGCACTCAGATGGAGCGGATCTGCGGAAATGCGGAATTGGCGGAATTGATGTGATTGGTCGTTGCTTCATTCTTATTTTTATTTCGCAGATTTAATTTTCCTATGTTCACATGAAGCGGATCTCGCAGAAGCGGAAATTTTATCGACTAATAATATTAACTCGTACAGAGGACATTTTATACTTATCTATCTAAAGAGTATATTCCATTGGATAGGACTGTTTTACGCTTCTGTTAATTCTGCATCATGTGAACATAGGAAAAATATTTCTGCGGAACGGAGAAAACGGAATAAAAAAACGGAGAAAACTGTTATAACGTTTATATTCAAATATTCAAACTGTTTATTAGCTGTGTGCGAAATTATTCCTTCTAGTAAAGTTCTGATCGTGATATGCGGATTAATAAAAAAATGTACAGGTTTCTTTTACTATAATAAAAAAATGTATGAAAGTTTGTCGCAGCAACATAATTTTAAGACCATCCACAGTATCCACATTTCTTAAGGTTGATTTATACTGGCCGTAAACTGTTAACTTATGCCGTAATCTGTAAAAATTGACCAATCACAGTCGAATGAGAGGGGAATAATCGATTATAATTGGTCAATTTTTACAGATTACAGCATAAGTTAACAGATTACGGCCAGTATAATCCAACCTTTACTCTTCAAAAGTTACGTAACATTAAAAAATTTTGGTAATTATACAGAATCACTGCCTCACCTCAAAAATCGATCAAATTAGGCTTATTCGACGCGT